TTCCTCAGGCAGAGGAAACAGCAATTATAAAGACCCTAAAGCAGCAGAAAGCAGCCCAGTGTGACTGAAGCTATGGGAAACTACGAAAGGTTTTAAGTAGGTAAGAAATGTAATATGCTTTTATATGTTTAAAGGTTTATTCCAACTTTGTGAGAATGGATGGTAGAGGAGTGCAAGAAAGGAAGCAGGTAGGGAAACTGAAATAATCCAAGCAAGATTTGATAGTAGTGGCTTAGACCAAGATAGTAGCAGTGCAGACGAAAAGGAGATATCCCAAAATATTTTTTTTCAAGGTAGAGCCTATAGGATTTGTTAATGGGTTGGATGTGCGATGTGAAAAAAAATGACAGGAACCAAAAATTACTTATACATTTCTTGCTTGAGTGGGTAAATGATGATGTTCTTCACTAATGGTGAGGGTGGAACCAGTTTGGAGAAAATCAAGAGTTCTGCCTCTGTTAAGTTTGTATGATGTTGACCATGTATCCAATTAGAGGTATAATATAGACAACTGATTCTACAAATCTGGAGCTTGGTAGAGATGTCAGCAACAGGGCTGTAAATTTGAGAGTCATCATGCTTTTTGCTATTTAAAAACATGAAAGTAAAAGAGTTCTCCTACAGAGAGAACACGGATAGAAGAGAAAGCAGAGGACCAAGCCCAGGATAGCCCAATAGCACCTTAAATTCCAGATACAAACTCCTACACCTGAACTAATGTATATTCTAACAGGCTTACACTTCCATGTTTCTGTTATAATGTTATTTTGAAATACTGCTGGATTAACAAAAAGAGTATAGCTATTTAAATTCAAATCAATAGTTAAGAGGAAGCAAAAAAATGTTTACAACTACATATATTTATTACACACACAAAAAAAAAACCAAACACATAAAATGAATTCTTGAAATTTCCTAACTTGAAATTTCCTGAAGCCTGTTTCAAAGAAGTAAATGCCGAATGAACAAAATCACACAGACTCGGCTGCAAATTACAGCTCCACCAATTACTAGTTATATGACTTAACGTAGCTGCACTTTCTCTCTATGCCTTATTTTTCTCAAGAATAAAAAGTAGATAATGTTATCTACATCAGAGCAGCTCTAGTAAACGAGATAATAAATATCAATATTAGACACATTAAACACTTAATAATAAAAGTTAATTTTATCATAAAATTTAAGAAACAGTAAGTGCTGGGAATCGTGGCTAAGGACTTCATCTGGATTCTCTCACCGAATCCCCACAACCCTGAGAAAGTACAGAAGCTTAGAGATGTTAAGGGATTTACTCAAATCATAATGCACAAATTTAGTGGTTACCTCTAATAAGTAGTGGCCCCAGAGTCCTTCCTTCTTACTCATTACATTGTAATGTTATTTTTTATACAAAGGAATCAAATTCCTATAGACAGCTTATTTCCAGCTACCTACATATTTACCTGTAAAGCTCTCACTTTTACATATTTTTTTTCTTTATGCTACACTGGCATGACCAATCTATCTAGTGACTCAGTGATATAGAAGAGATAGCTAGGTGTGACAGGAGCTGCAATGTCCAACCTGTTTCAGGAGGTATTTGAGAAATAGTGTGGACAGTTCACCTAAAGAAACGCAGCATTTTTACAACAAAAACTACTAGAGAGGGAGTTCATTTGCGCCATAGGCAAATAGTTCTCGCGCGCTGCAAATCATTGCAGTTGTTTGCACCTGTTCATAGACATGCTCTCCTGTTCCTCCTAACCCCGATCGCCTTGCTTTCTCGCGGAATCTGCCCTTCTGCATCGGTTTCTTATCTGTCCTGGCTCTCCCCCGTCTCTCCCTCCTCAGACCCCCGAACACTTCTGGAGATGGGTGGGGGGCACTTTTCGAAGCATCACCATTCACATCCCCGATCCAGAGTCTTCAAGGCACCCAGGAAACCCCTTCGCTTTTCCGGGGGATCCTCAGGCTCCTCTTCTCCCTCGCCTAGCGCCTGCAGAGCAGCAGGTCCCGCGGGTCTGGGGGCACTCGCGGCTCCTTCCGCCCCCCCCAGGCCCGGCTCTGCCCCGTGGAGGCCCCGCGACCCCAGGCCCTGCCAGCCTCGGTTACCTTATCATTGTCCAGCCGCGTCTCCAGGATCTTATGCAGCTTGCGTGACAGCGGGTGGTGGTTCTGCGCCGAGTTCCCGCCTGAGCTATTGCTGAGGCCGTCGACAGGCGCAGACGTCGGCACCGCGACCACTTCCCCGCTGACCTCGGCCATAGCGCCGTGAGTCCCACCCCCAGAGGCGGTGCTGCCACCTCAGCCCTAGATAAGGACTACGCCGGCAGCGCCAGTACTGCGCATGTGCAGATCGCGCCGCGCATGCGCCCCGGCCCCGAAAGGCTCTGCCGGGGCAACCCTGCTCAGGCTCCTAAAGCGCGAGGAGTCGGGGTTGGGGGAGCCGGCAAGACCCTCAGGCGGGAGGGGCAGGTTTATGGGATTTGAATGGGACTTTGGAATACTGAATTTATGAAAATGAGCTAATCAGATAGCATATGTGAAATCCACCAAAACCTTTACCTGGAATATGCGTTCAATAGAAGTTGATTCTAATTCACTTTATCTAAATTCTTTTTTTTTTTTTTTAAGTATTTATTGTAGGCGTAGTATGTTCCAGGTACTCTCGTAGGCACTGGAAAATTATGTATGAGACAAAGAAGTTAATAAATGTTAATAGGTTGGAATCAGTGCTTAGAAGGAAATGAAGTACAGCTGAGAATAATGGAGGGCAAGGCCCACTTTACCCAGGAAGGTCTGGAAAGGAATCGAAACTTAAACTGAGATTCGAAGGGGAATCAGAAACGTGAGAAGTATTCCCGGGTAGGACAAAGTGTAACTGCAAAGGCCCCCAGACGAGAAGGGAATTGGCTCTTCCACAAAGTAACTAAAGCCAGAGCAGCTATAAAGTAATGGACAAGGAAGTAACAAGGTGAGAAATAAATTCCGGGGAAACTCTAGAAGACAAACATTAATATTTTCTTTCTTTTCGCAGTTTTTAAATTTGGATCATAATATAATCCCTGAAGCTCCTGTGAAGAATGAGTATTTTTGTCTGAAAAACTAACCATTTAGTTCTTGTCCTTAATTTGCCTTGTTTTATATGTATTGATACAGACAGATATAGATAAGACTTAAAGGAAAATTATCTATTACATAAGTCACATAAAGAAAGTACTGACAAAGTTACTTGCCTCTAAGTGAAGAAGAGAGGGCTTAACTAGCAAGAAGAAAAAGAAAAGTCCAAAAGGACAACATCTAGGTATGAATTCAATAGGGAATGCATAGGACCTAGGGGAAGAAAACTTTATCATGCTGCTGAGGGAACATAGAACTTAATTAAATGAAAAGATATATTGTTTTCTTCAGTGGGAAAACTCAATACTGTAAATGTATCATCTCTTTTCCATATATAAATTTAAATTCAATGTAATCAAAATTAAAATTTTAAAGGTGTACGTAAGTGTGTACATCCAAATGAATATACAAAACAATAATATAATGCTTTGTAGAGTTTACAAATATGTACAATTAAAATAAATGACAATAGCATACAAAATGGGGAGCTCACAAAAGATCACGTATTGTATGACTTCTTTACACGGAATCTGCAAAGTAGGTAAATTGATAGAGATGGAAAGTACATTAGTGATTCCAGGGGGAAGGGTGTTGGGAATAGAGAATGGGGAGCTCAAACAGATTTGTTTTGGGATAGATGAAAATAATGAAAAGCTAGATTGTGGTGATGGTTGCACAACTAGTAAATATACTAAAAACCACAGAACTGTACACTTTAAGTGAGTGAATTGTATGGTATGTGAATATCTCAAAGCTGTTTTTAAAACAAGTGGAGGGAAGGTAGACAAAATGTTTAACTAATAAAAATACTAATTTATGTTAAATTTTTAAAACTTAGATATGATTTACAGGCCATAAACTTCACCTATTTAAAGTGTAAAATACAACAGCTTTTAGTTTATTTACAGAGGTATCAAACATCACTATAATCTAATTTTAGGACATTTTCATCATTTCATTCAAAAAGAAAACTTGTACCCACTAGCAGTCACTCCTCATTTTCCCCTCTCTACCTCCCTAGGAAATCACAAATCTACTTTCTGTCTGTATAGATTTGCCTCTTTGGAACATTTCATATAAATGTGGCCTTTGTGTCTGGCTTCTTTCACTTAGCATAGTGTTTTTATGGTTCATCCATTTTGTGGCTTGTGTTAGTACTCCATTCCCTATTATTGCCAAATAATAATCCATGATATGGTTCTACCACATTTTGTTTATCCATTCATCAGTAGATGGACATTTGGGTGGCTTCCAATTTTTGGCTATTATGAACAATGCCTCTATGAATATGTGTGTGAGAGCTATTGTGTGGACATATGTTTTTATTTTTCTTAGTAAGATACCTAGAAGTACATTGCTGAGTCATATGGTAACTCCATATTTAACTTTTGAGGAACTGCCAAACAGTTTTCCAAATGGCTGCCCCATTTTACATTCGCACTGGCAGTGTATGAGGCAATTTTTCCACATCCTGGCCAACACTTGTCATGGTCAGTCATTTTTATTTTAGCCATCCTTTCCCGCATGAAGTGGTATCTCGTTGTGATTATGATTTGCATTTCCTGTTGACTAATGATATTGAGTTGTAAGAATTTTTTATACATTTTGGATACTAGTCCCTTATAATATAATTTATCAAAAAATATTTTGCCCTAATCTAGTGGTTGTCTTTTCACTTTCTTGATGGGATTCTTTGAAGCACAAATGATCCTAATTTGATGACGTTTAACTTATCAATCTTCTCTCTTGTTATTTGCGCTTTTGGTGCCATATTCAAGAAATTATTGCTGAACCCAAGATCACAAAGATTTATTCCCATGTTTTCTTCTAGGCGTTTTAAGTTTCAGCACTTAAACCTGTCATCCACCTTTGGTTAACTTTTGTGTATGATGTTAGATATAGATCCAACCTTGTTGTTTTGAATGTGGATATCTAGTTGTCCCCAGCACCATTTGTTGGAAAGATTATTCTTTCTCCCATATGAGCTTTTCTATAGATGCAGAAAAAGCAGATGATAAAACTCAACACCCATTCATAACAGAAAAAGAAAAAGGAACTCTTAGCAATTAGAATAGAAGGAAACTTCCTTAATTAGATTAAGAGAATACACAAAAACCCTACAGGATACATTACACTTGATGAAATATTTAAAACCTTCCCCCTGAGATCAGGAATAAGACAAGGCTATCCACTATCACTACTTTCATTTGATATTGCACTAGAGGTTATAACAAAGATAATAAAGCAAAAAAAATTAAAGACAAAGAAATAAAGTTATGAGGACTAGAGAGAACAAAGAAAAACACAGTATTTATAGAAAATTCAAAATGATCTATAGAAAAATTATTAGAATTAATAATAACCTTTTTCACATATTTTATTCAAAACCCCAAAAGGAGCTTGGAATTCAGCTTGCTTGTAGAAGAGGTTTATGACTCCTTAATGCTTGATCGCACATATATGATTTTACATCAGTCAGGACTTGCTTCATCAGTTACCACTGAAGAGACTAAAAGGATTAGAAATTTAACATTGAAAATGATATATGAAGAGGTGACTTTACAGCTGAGTTTTATTTAACTTTTAAAAGAATATTTGATTCCAATATTATTTAAGTTATTCTAGGATTCAGGATTTCTTAACTTAGGCACCACTGACATTAAGGGCTGGATAACTTTTTTTAGTGGCCTATCCACTAATTGCCAATAGCACCCTTCCCAGTTGAAGCAACCAAAAATGTCTCCAGACATTGCCAAATGTCCCTAAGGGACAAAATCGTCCCGGCTTGAAAAACATGGTTCTAAGCCATAGGTATTAGTTACCCAGTGCTGCTTAACAAATTATCCCAATATTAGTATCTAAAAAGAACAATCATCCTAATTTCTGTGGATCAGGAATTCAAGAGTGGCTTGGCTGGGTGGTTTAGGCTCAGGGTTTCTGAAGAAGTTGTAGTCAGATGTCAGCTAGGAGTGCAGTCATCTGAAAGCTTAACTGGTGCTGGAGGATCCACTTCAAGGTGGCTCACTCACATGGCTGGTGAGTTGGTGCTGCTTGTTGGCAGGAGGCCCAAATTCTCCCCTAATGGGCCTCTCCACAGGGTTGTTTGAATGTCCTTATAACATAACACTCTTATTGCTAGGCATTTACTACGGATGTAATGCAAAAATTTGCCAAAGTATATAGGCAGAGATAATCATATCATGGTTTGTAATAAACGAAAGGAAGGAAGGAAGGAAGGAAGCGAGGGAGCAAACAACCAAAGTGTCCATTGATAGATTACGGAGCATTCACTCATTCAGTAGAATATTATGCAACTCTTATTTGCTATGAAAGAGATTTAAATGAACAAAAAAATGAAAAGAAAGAAAGAAAGATCACAATAATGCATTGAACTTTCAGAAGGAGAGAACAGAACTGTGGTTACTGGAGGTGCAAAGGGGGAGGGGGAGATGCTAGTGAGAAATTGGTTAATGGACACAGGAATGATTATATTCTGTAATGATGAACATGTTAATTATCCTGATTTGATGATCACACATTGTACACAGATATTGATATTCAACTCTGTATCCCACAAATATGTTTAATCAATTATTTTTCAATTAAAAAAAATAAATGCTAATATGGAAAGAATTCCAAAATATAGTATATGAAAAAAGCAAGGGGCATTATAGTGTGTACAACGAGATCACTTACACATACGAATTGGAGAGATGCATAAAAATTTAGGCATTTTGTCCAGGATGGCATTCTAGTGGAAGGGAGTCTTCCTCTTTTTCTTTTATCTTTCTAAACTAATTAAAATTTTCTAGTCTTATCCATGTGTTGCTAAAAATGTTAACAGGCTATTAAGGTAGGGTAATTATTACTCTCTTTTCTTTGTTTATCTGTACTTCTCTGAATTTGTGATTTTAAAACAGAAAAAAAAATAATTTATGAATTAGAATAGTATGTGGTAGCATAAAACAAGGAAATTATTGTAAAAGTTAAACATTCAATTCCATTTGTATGTTTTTAATACTTAAGTATCATATGTTTTTATGAGGCTAGTTATAAGTGCTTAAAAATCAATATTTATCAACAGTTAAGATAAATGTTCAGGTGTGCCTCATTAGAAACATATAAATATATATATACGTATTTTTTAAAATAAAGGTTTTCTTTTA